AAGAACAGGGAGTTGTTGGGGGCGGCGGTGGGCGGGGGACCTTGAATCAGAACAACTCCAAGGTCTGTTCCTAGAGAGGTGAACAGTCTCCCAAGCCCCTCAAGCCCACACCTCACCACGTAAGCTTTCAAGATCGGAAAACGCAGAGGAGGGAAGAGGGCTTTAAGGATGCCCACTGAACCTTCACCCCCAACTTTCAGCGCCAGAGGCAGTGTTCCCTCACACCTACCCTGGAAAGCCGGAATCTGGAGCGACCCCTTCCCCCACCGTCTTCAGCCCCTCCTCCTGCGGCTTCCCCACCGCAGCCCCCTCCCCCCCATTACAGCATCGCTCTGGGCGCCAAGACGGATTCAAGCCAGGGACTGCTGCAGTCAGCTCTCCGCTTCTCGGCTCCCGCAGCCTGTGTCCAGGCTCTGCAGCCTCCAGCTGTGCTTCGGACAGTCCCTTTTCCCCCCACCCCGCCCCCGCCATGGCACAATCCCAGGCTCAGGGCCCAGAGGCGGGCGGGCACAGTGGGCGCGGGCGGGGTCCCAGCACAGGAGGCAGGTACAGCGGGGCTGTCCCTCCACACTGGGGATGCCTCGTCTGTGCGGACTGTGGGTAGGGGACGCCTGCCAGTGGCTCGGAGGACCGGCACAGCGCCCCATTCTGGCAGGGGCTGGGGCAGAAGAAGGGGGCTCCCTGACCCGAGGCCAGGAGCTGAGGTCGGTCGGTCGACAGACTGGGAAAGCCCGAAGGAGTCTCCCAAGCAGACGGGCCTGGGGGGCTGTGTGTGACACTCAGGGCGTGACTGCGCCTCCGCCGGGCGCGAGACCCCGTCCGTGAGGCTGAGCCGGTCCCCGGCCGCCCGCCCGCCGCCGCGCTTGGGTCCCCTGTGCCCAGGTCGGCTGTGCGTGGTGGTGACACTTTAGGTGCCTGTTCCTGGGTCCCCGGGGAGGGGGGATCTCATTGGTGCCCCCAGTCTGGGCGCCCCCAGCGCCGTCGTTCTGCGAGGTGGGCGCTCTTCGGGGACCCCGGCAGCCGCCCGCGGGCGGCAACCTCGGCCCTCCTGGGTCCGCGCGGGGGCGGGGAGCTCGGTCCCCCTCCCTCTTCCTCTCCCTCTCGCTGCTCGGCCGCCCTGCGCGGGGGCGGGGGCGGGGGCGGGGGCGGAGCGCGCGGGCGGGATCCCCCCGCCTCCCCTTCCCGGTCCCCGGGAAATCCAGCCTCCGTGGCTTGGCCGCCTCCCGCTCCCGCGCCCGCTGCCGCTCGGCGCTCGCTCTGGGCTCCGCAGCCGGCGCGGCCCCTCCGCTGGGGGCTCCGCAGTGCCGGGCCCCGGTCCCTGCCCACCCGCCCGCCCGCCCAACGCCGCAGCGCCCCCGGCCCGGGCCGCCGGCATCATGTAACCCGGCCGGAGCCCGAGCCGGGCCAGGTAAGCCGCGGGGAGAAGAGGGGACGGGGCCGCGCTCGCGGCGCCCTCTGCAGCGCCCCCCAGGCTCCGCCGGGCTGCGGCCCCGGCGCCGCCCACGCCTCGGGCTCCGGCAGCCTCGGCTAGCAGCCCCGGGAGGGGGGAGGGGCTGGGCCTCCTCGGCCGCCCCCGCCCTCGCCCCGGCCTAGCTGCCGGCGGGCCCGACCCAAGGGGTGGGCGGGGGACCACGCGGACGGCGGACCCACTCTGCCTGTCAGGGCCGCCGGGACCCGCTAGCCCCGGCCCAGCCCTCGCCCGGCTGGAGGCTCTGGTCTGGGAGGGAGTAGCCCGCTGGTTGTGGGGGGAAGTCGTGGTGTTGGGGAGATCCGGAGAGAAGTTTCCTCTGCAGGTGTGTGAATGTGAATGCGTGTCCCTGTGTGTCTGTGCCGAGTGTGACACTGTGTGGGTCTGTGGGTGATTGTGTGTGCCGGTGAGTGTATGCAGTGTGTGTGTGCGTGTGTCACTGTGGGCGAGACTGTGTTTGCATGTAAGGGGGTGTATGCAGCGTGAGTGTGAAGGGTGGTACTGTGTATGTATCTGTGGACATGTGAGTGAATGAGCGTGTGTTGTCTCCGAATGTGCCTGTGTGTGTCTCTGTGAGTGTGTGTGTGAATGGATGTGTGTGCCGGTGTGACTGTCTCTGTGAGTGGGTCCCGGTATCTGCCCTGTGTGACTGTGTGTGTGTGTGTGTGTGTGTGCGTGCGCGCGCGGGTGCGCGCGCGCTGGCTGTGTGAGACAGAGTGTATCTGAGCACGGTTCACTCTGAATCACCCACACCTGTGCTTTGTCTCCCCCTGCAATTCCCCCATTCCTGTTGGGACATGGGACAGGGAGATGAGACGTTTCCGAGGTTAGATCATCCCCCCTTGTCAGGGGACCCCTGACCCTTGATTCAGGCAAGAGCTTGGTGGCACTCCCCACCTTGGTCTCCACCTTCACCTACCTCAGGGGGTGCCCTCTGGGATGCTGCTGGTCTTGTCCTTCCGGCACACTGAGGCCCTTGGTGGGTGGGAGGGGGGACCTGGGGTGAGCTGGAGTATGTACTTGTGTATGCTGCTTCTCCTTTTGGTGACCTGGGAACTTGTGTCATCTCAGTAATGCTTCACCCACCGAAGGCCTTTTAGAGCTAGGAGCTGAGGAGGCCAGGTGGAAGCGTCTGCCCTGTTAGTCATCAGAGCAGGTGGCACTTTCCCAGACTTCCAAGTCCCAAACCTTCAAGTTCTGGGCCATTGGTTCAGTCCACTGGCTCCGGGTGGGTCCCTACTAAGCTCTTTGAAGTAATAATAATAAAATAATGTCCTCATATTAGCTCAGGGCTTTTGAAAATGCTGTCCTCTGAACTTTATTTCCCCAACAGCCTTAGGAAGCAGGCAGGACAGGTATCATGTTAAGCCATTTGAAATTGTTAATATTCAACTGTTTTTATTTAACGTACAAAAACAGCAATTTCCCATGGTTCAACCAAATATAATGCCGATTTACAGATGAGGATGTTGAGGCTTGAGAAAGGAATTGCATTTCCCACAACCACACACTGCTAGTCAGCGGTACAGAGAGACTTCAGCCCAGGTCTTTCAGTGACCCAAAGAACTGGGCTGGGCCAAGGTTAGAGAGTGGTGCTTTTGGTGTGCTCTCTGTGACCCTGGGGGCACTGTCCTCTCCCTCTTCGAAGTATTCCCTGAATGCTGGGGCTACTTCTGCACCCAGCTACCAGTGCCTAAAAGAGAGAGGAGGGGAGAAAAGAGGAGGAGAGGGGAGGGAGAGGCTTCGTGAGTTGGCAGTGAATCAGGGTCTAAAAAGGGAGCTGGGAGGGTTGGGGTGGCAGGTGTTTCTAAAAGGAACATGAACATAGGATGAACAGCCTCAGATGCAGCCCCTGCATCTCCCACCCGCCACTGCCCCACTGATCCGGCAGGCAGTGCCCACTGCATTTTGTGCCAGGGGGCTCACATCCAAGTAGTGAGCTTGTATGTAACTACAGAATGATGGCCAGGAAAGGAATCTTAGAATTGATTTGGTCCAACCTCTTCATTACAGACTGGGGACTCTGAAGCCCAGAGAAGGGAGGGGACTTGCCCAAGGTCACACAACAAATTTGCGGGTTCCTAGGCTAATCTTAGACCAGGAACTTTGCAGTCCTCCATGTTGCCTTCTATTCCTGAACTGTCCCCACCCCCATCAGAGCTGAGTACTGGGGATTTTGGAAAAGAAATGAAGACTCAAAATGCCTAAGGCTGTACGTCTTTCAACCTGGGACTCCTTGCCAAAGAGAGGGCGCTACAGATGTCGCTGGGGATGGGGATTCCTAGCCACACCCACCACCGAGGCAGGCCCTGGGCTTGTCTTGATTCCTGCCGGTGAGGGGCTGGAACTGCTGCCGCCCAGACTCCCAGACTTTCTTGTGTCAGTCCCTGCTTTCAGCGGCTGCCTGACACCTAACATCATCTCTTCCAGCTGATGTTGGGGCTCGAGCTGGCTACGTTCGTTTTCCTTCATCCTACCCAGTTTCCAGTGCATTTCGTCTCTAGCTGGATGGACCCTTCCTTACCTTATTGGGCTCCTAAGGGGTAGAGAAACTTCTGAGGTCTGTCTGATTTAGGAAGAGTCTGTAGTTACCCCCAAACCCTTTCTAATGAAATCTTCCAGAAGTGTAGGACAAATGATAAAGGGATTGCCCCCATTTTACAAGTGGGGAGACTGAAATTCAGCAAGGGGCCCCGTATTTGGTTGTTTTTAGTTGTTTTGAGGTGAGGTGTTGAAGGGAGCAAATGACAACAAAAGCTTATGCCTAGAGGAGCTTCCAAAGACCCCTTCTGGTCTTACCATCCCCACGGTCAGGAAACCTTCCCAGATTCTGATTTCATTCCCACTTGGTAGAGTCAAAGCTTTGTCACTCAGTGGGGGTTGGAAAAACAGCTGTGTACCCTCCACTATGCAAGCATTATGTCTTGATTCCCTCTTTATCCACCCCCCCGCCCCAGTCTGAAGGCTGCTGGCTCAGCAGGCCTCCTGCCGTCTGGGGAGTCTGGGTTTGAGCTGGGGTAAGGCAGTGGCACCATCGTTATGGTAACGAGCTGCCAGCTCATCGTTGCTAATAACTTGTCAGGCCTCTGAGCTCCATGCAGCATCTCTTCATACCAGCTCTTCTTCCCATGTCACAGACAGAAAAAGTGAGGCTTTGAGGGAGGGGTCTGGGAATAAGGGAGTTTGGAGAAGTGGATGGCCTTGTCCCTGGGATTGTAGCTGGAGAGCTGGGGGGAGGTTGTTTGGAGCTGGTTTACACATATGGTTACATAGGCTTGCATATGATTGCATGGGCTGTTTACATGTGAAAACACTCAGAACATGCTTGAATAAACTTATACATGCTAGCTGACATGTTCATGTGTTTTTATACAGCAGCCAGCCCACAGGCAAACATGCTTCCAAGCATCAGAACATGCTTGTGCCTGAATACCGTCTTTACCATCTGCACATAAGGCACCCAAGAAATCTGGGTTTGTGGGGGTGTCCAGGTATGTGGGTGGGGATCTGATCTTTTTCTGATGCAGCTTCAAAGTGTCTTGTTAACAAAGGGACAGAATGGTCCCAGGGTTCCTTCTTCTTCCTTTCAGTTAAGAGCTCAAGAGTGGAAGTGGGCTGGGGATGGTGTCGGGGGCCCAAGCTCCTAGCTCCCAAAGGCCCCTGCCTCTATGCCCTTTGAGTTCAGGTAGCCCCTGCCCCCCTCACTCTCTGTTCTTTCTCATCCTCTCTTCCTGTGTGTAAATATTAAAGAGCTGAGCCTGCAGGGCTGATGTAGACATGGGGAGAGAATGAAATTAAAAAGGATTCCCTCGCCCCCATCTTGACACCCCCGCCCCGCAGTCCCTCGCTCCTGCTTCTTCCCCTCTCCCCTCTCCCCTCCCCTCACTCAGTGCTTCCACATGTCTCTCCTCCCCCCAGTCCAGATGGGAGCTGGCTCCTTCAGAAAGGGGGCTCAGAACAGGGTGTGGGGAGCTACCTCTCTCTGCCTCCCCCCACCACATCTGCCTGCAGGGCTGGGAGCCCCCACGTGAGTATTTCTCTTATCTTTGGGGTGGTGGTTAAGAAGGAAAGTGGTTTTTAGAACCAGCTGTGAGTGGCGTTGAGAGGCTCTGGGCTGAAGAAAGGTGGGTGGGGTCCTCTCTCTAGGCTCCTTCAGGGAAGCCCCGTGTCTGGGTTTCTTTTCTCTCTTGGGACATAGAGGGAAGGTGGGGTGGGGTTTGTCAGGTGCCCCCGGTGGATGGGAGTGACAGTGGGAGGGGCGGGGGAGAGGGGCTTCTGTTCTAAAGAGGGTGTGTGGCGAGGTAAGCCTGTTTCTTCCTGGCATCCTGGGTTTCTGGTTACCGGGGCCCGGGAATGTAGCTGGGAACTGTCCCGGGTGCTGAATAGGACTCGGCGGGGATTTGTTCTTTCAGAGCTGTCCCTAGTGCTGAATGGGGCTTCGTTTGGTCCCGATGGTGGAAAGGCGGTGGGCAGTGGGGAGGGCTCACTAGAAAAATTCTCCCAGATGACCCATTTTCTAAGGGCAGGGTCCCTGGATCGAAATATGAATTTGTGCTTCTTCCTATGGTTTAGGTATCACAGTTGTTAGTGGTGTTTAGGAACCCTTCCCTCAAGGGGTCCCTCTCCCTTTTTGTTTCAGTTCCCCCTCTCCTTTCAAAACCATCCTACTGTTAGTGTAGGGGTAGAGGTGGAGAATAATATTGTGCCTGTGAGATCTCATCTCCTGGGAATGCTTTTTAGTGCAACAAGCTCAGAGGTATTGATACCAGCTTTTTACCTACTGGGTCCCAGAAGTTCAGGCTCAAGGTGGTTCTGGATTAGGAGAGCTTGGATCTTTCTGGTTAAGTGTAAGGTGGTTAGAGCTCACGAGTTCAGGATAACTTGATTGACCACTTGATATTCCCTTGCCCATTATACTTTGGGATTTTGGACAGGGGACACCGAAATATTCTGCAAGCCTGTCTTGTGTTCTGCCCATTTCCAAACCTAGCTCAGAGCAGCATTTGGAAGAGAGACTTTTGTTGGGGAGGAAGATTTTTAAGCAAATGATTCAAGGAGTGGGTGGGGTTGTTCAGTGCCATGGAGAAGAGAAGGAGGAGGCTACTGGAGACAGGGCAGTGGGAAAAGAGGAAGATCTGGGGGAGTAAAAAAATATTCAAATGGAGGGATGAGGTCTGGGCTTCAGTCTTTAGTTCTCTTGGATATCTTTATGGCTTAGAGTCAGGGTCATTTCAAGTACCTGTATTCTTATGGATTGTCTTTGTAATCAAGAAGGGAATAGAGCAAGAGTTATTTCTCAAGGTCCCTTCCCTTGTCATCCCAGGGGATGAGAGCCAAATGTCAGGACATGCAGATGAGTCTGTGGGGTAATAACAGGCAGGAGGGGTTGATGGTGGCTTCACCTCCCATCCCCAAGAGCACAATCAGATATTCAAATGGGATCCTTCCTATGGGGAGAGGAATGAGACAGTTTGCAGATAATCCTGGGCAAAAATTGGGTGTGGCAGGGAGTTCAAGAAAAGGGAGAGGTATTTAGGGACCTCAAACTAAACCAGTTATCCCTTCCCAGATGTGACTTCTAGTTCATAAGGAGCCCCTCACCCATCATGTTTTTGATGTAACTCATCAAGATGATTCCTGCCTTCTCTAGCTGCTTGGGAGGAGCTGAGTTTTCCTATGCTGTGGGTGCTGGGAGGTGGTGGGTGTGGGTGTGGGTGCCTGTTTGGGGAGGGGAGGTGTTTGTGCTCCACTCGGCTCCCTTGGTTACATAACAGCTTTGATAAGACTTTACTTTGGAGCTGCTGCTACTGCCTGAAGCAGTCACCCCTCCACCCCCACATGAAATGCTAGATGTCCACCCCCTTTTCCCTGGCCCCTTGGAGAGTCCTGCTCTTCCTGCTCTTCCTGATCCACTGTTCCAGCAGCTGCTTCCCTGCCAGGAGGTGTATGCAGCTTGCCTCCCTGCTCCCTTCCAAGCTCCTGTTTTTAAAATACTTGCTTCTTTTGTTATTTGAGCCTAGTTTACCCCCTTTACATTTTTAAGCCTCCCGGTCTACCCTCTCCCTTGGCAGGGCCCACAGGCTGGGAAGGGAGGGGTTCACTGAACATGAAGCTGCCCTCTAGGGAAGAAAAGAGGTATCCTCGGAGGTTTTAGTACCCACAGTTAATTTCCTTACTGTTTCTTCCTCTGCCCCAATAACTGTTTTGGAGTTTGAGAGTGTTATGCCTTGAGGTAATGGGGGGAGGACTTTGGCCTTGATACTTTCTCTTTCTTTTCTTTCATTCTTTCTTTTTTAGAGTTAAGGGGTTGCATATATGAGGGGATTGTCTCCTGGGTTTGAAGAGGTACACCTACTTTATTGTTACTCCTACCCAGGTTTTCTGAGAAAATATTCATTTCTCTAGGCATGGGATGAGGGAGTGACAGAGCCCTTTTTAAAAAATCACATTTTTTCCCCCTGAGAGTGGGTGGGAATGGGATGTGTCCAGGAGTGGGTATATCCTATTGATAACAGGACCAGCTTTGCAAATAGAGAAGTGGGAGACTAGCAAGAGGAAAGAGCAAATGCAAACTTGTAATGTACTTGAAGAGAATATGAACTTTGTGGACAGGATAGAAGCCAGGGGAGGGGTTGGATATCTCCACAGGACCTGGGACTGCAGTACACATGCATGTGTATTTCTGCCTGTGAGTGGGTATATGACTGTGTATATGCACATAAGTATGTGTCAGTATGCTGTGTATATATGTGTATAAGCACATTTATTTATATAAGTGTGGATGTGTATGTATGTATGTGTGTATGACTATGTATGCATTCATGGATATATGTCAACGTGAAGGAAATTACTGAATTAAACCTGTGTGTGTTTGGGTGTGTGGTGTGCTTACCCAGTAATGCATATATGTGAGTGTAAGCGTGCATGTGAGCATGTATGTGGGGCATGCATATACATACCATATTAACCACATATGAATATATGTACTCAAGTTGAGTGAAACGTGAATAAATTTAAGAAAGAGAGAGAGAGACAGATTCTCACCAAATGTTGGGCTACCCAAAAGTGTTTTCCCATTGGCTTGAACTGGATCACCCTGCTACCTGGAGCTCTTCTCAAGAAAGTAGGCTCCCTGAAGTCTCTCAAATTCTCATGTCCTTGAGAGCCAACTGTTCTCCATCATTTGAAAGGAGTTTACAGAGGGAAAACCTAGAAGTACTTGGGGATAGCTGAGTAAGAAATCCAGGCTCCAGGCTGTTCAGTTGCTATGGTGCTCAGGGCTGTATGTGGGGAAAGAGGATGGGGGCTTTAACATTAACATTGCTGTAGAGGTTTCAAAATTCAACAAGTTGGGCTTAGTGGATGAAAGGGGTAGTGAGTAAAAGGGGGGCCCAAGTGCATGCATAAGCCTCATACATATGAGACGTGGCAATACACATGTACAGGTATATGTGTATATTAATTTCTGTGCCATCATATGCATATATCAACATAGGTGCACTTTCTAACATGTACATACGTTAACAAATCTACAGGAATGTCTATACCAACATGGGGATTTGTCAGCATGCACATACATGCTAACACGTATACATGTGAACATAATATAAAGAAATATGTGGGCATATGCTAACACTTGTCTGATTACAACCCATGGCCATATATATGTGCATCTCACTCATCCAGGTTAACAGTAGCCTGCAAACATACTCTTCCCCATCACACATCCCTCACCCAATGCAGCCATTCATTCAACCAGTGTTTATTTTATGCCTCTAATGTGCCACATGTGTCGGGCACTAGGGATGGTCCTTGACTCAGATAACTTGCAATCTTGAGAGGGTGAAGGACATGGAACCAAATAAGGAGAGGGTTAAGGAAGGTAGACACACATAAGTGTTCATTGGAGGGAGTGGGGACCTGAAGAGAGGTAGGTTGGCTCTGGAGTGGGGAAGGGAAAGGTTTGGTAAAGGATCCATAGAAGGGGAAGCTTTTTTTTTTTTTTTTTTTGGGATGGAGTTTCGCTCTTGTTACCCAGGCTGGAGTGCAATGGCACGATCTCGGCTCACCGAGATCCTCCTCCACCTCCTGGGTTCAGGCAATTCTCCTGCCTCAGCTTCCTGAGTAGCTGGGATTACAGGCACGCGCCACCATGCCCAGCTAATGTTTTGTATTTTTAGTAGAGACGGGGTTTCACCGTGTTGACCAGGATGGTCTCAATCTCTTGACCTTGTGATCCACCCGCCTCGGCCTCCCAAAGTGCTGGGATTACAGGCTTGAGCCACCGCGCCCAGCCGAAGGGGAAGCTTTTGAGTGGAAGCTTAAAAGTTGAACAGGTGCTTACCAGGTGAGCAACTGTGGGAACAGGTATTTCAGTGACAGGAGATGTTCCAGATGGTCTTCCTACTTCCACCCTTGCCAGCCCCACCTCCACAGACTCTTCCCCAAAAAGCGGCCAGAGTAAAATGAGGTCTTGACTTTCCAGTGGCTTTCCATCTAACTCAGAGTAAAATCCAAAATGTCCTGAGCGACGTAAGTGCTGTGTGTGCAAAGCCCCCTATTACTTTTTAGATCTCAGGGCCACTCCTACTGTGGGCTTCCTTTCTGTTCCATAAAAAGAACAGTTCCACCTGGAGGCAATTGCGCTTGCTTTCCCCCTCATCCAGAAATGCTTTTCCCCCAGATATCTAGGCAACTCGCTTCCTCACTGTATCCAAGTCTTTGCTCAAAAGTCACGTTTTTAGAAAGACCTCCCCAATAGTCTGTCTTAAATAGCCCCCTGACATTCTATCTCCTCACTCCATTATTATTAATACTTTTATCTCAGTACTTGCCACCACCATTATTTTCTGTATTTGGTTATCATCCCTCTTTTTGCACTGGAATATAAACTTCATAAGCATGGGAGCTTCATCTGTTTTGTTCATTGCTGTACGTACAGTGTCAGTATTCACTTGGAGAAGTATTCAGCTTGGAGTAGGAACTCGATACATATTTGTTGAATAAAGAAATTTTAGATAGCTGGCA